AGCTGGATTACTACTATGCGCTTTGAAGACAAGAAACGAATTTTTTTTCTCCCATATGGTGATAAAAATTCAGTTATTAGAGCTGCTTATCCAATTCTTCGATAGTAAGTCTGAAACTGGCTGTTTTTGACACCGAAGCATTGTATGTCTCGTTGCGAAGAGTTATGCAACACAAAAAATAATAAACAGTTAAAAGATTAATGTTAGGTAATATATTCTGTTTTTTCGACCAATTATGATAAAACAAGGTTAAAGTAAAGGTATTTAATCAAAAGTACTACCTTCTCCACATGGAACGATGAAATAGGTAATAGCGAATCTTCAACCAAGTAGTAAGCCGAACGCTTGGTGATAGAACTTGGTCTTTTCAAGTTCATAACATTACGAAACATTTATTTTGGTTATTCCCCATATTCTTCAAGTCGAATTTTAACCTTGGTGGATTTAGTAGACGAGAGGTGTAAGTATACAGGAGTGCTAAACTGAATCAACCTCTTAAATACAAAGGCCTTAATGATGACGTTCGACTAACAATCGCCATTCCATTACAGCAACTTTAATGCTGGAATCGATGTTTTCACAAGGATAGAGTGGATGACTGACCTGGTGACCTCGGCAAACATGACAATGGTGGTGATGACTTCAACATCGACGATTCGGAAATGAGAGAAAACGATAGGCAAAATCCATGCAAAGCGGATGATGACGTCTTCTAGAATGGCTCCGTAGTAATAGGCTCGAAAGCGATAGACTAATTCGTCTCGCAGCAACATGTTCTCCTTTGAACTGCAGTCCAGCAGGCCCCAGTCCATCACCAGGTCCCACGTTGTTGTGCATACTGAGCTGCACAACTTTGAAAGAATCATCAACACGAAAAACGCCGTATCTGTATGAAGAAGAGAGTAACACTTCCGTCCTTACTGTTCCAAATGGAAAACGCCAATAGTCGCGCAAACATGTTGGATAATTATATAAGGGGAGAATTATGGGACACTCGTACCATTGACACCTGCCGAAAATAAGGCTTAATCTCTAATCCAGTTGAAGTTCACTGACAGCTGCGTGAAGCGAAACTTCCAATGGCGCGAGCCATGGTATGAAACCACTTGAAGCGTAAGAATGGAGTGAACATGATGATGATGATGATGATGATGGGAACAAAGAAGCAAATTGGGAGCCAATGCTTACGATGATTGATAGAAGATATGACAGAGCAGACAATCGCAATGAGTGTGGTGGAGTACTTGCCGGCGTTCATCAAATGCGGGACCGGCGACTTAACAGTCAGATCGCGGTATCGTCGAAGGCACTGAAGAAAACGCCACCACGCCGGAAGCGCCTTTAGAATGGGTTGCAGACCCCACATCATGCCATCACAAAAGCCCGCCTTTGGTACTGAATAAAAAGAAAGCCATCATTAGATAAAAGCAACTTTCCACAGCAGTTCACGAGGTGCACAGACCCACTCGTCACTGCATTTGTTATGAGCTTACAAAATTGAAATCTTAAAATGCTTTGCTTGTTTCCGATCCACATCATAATCATCAACCACGTTGTCATGCTCTTAAATTATTGGTACTTCATTACCTTGAGCCGGTGACAAACAGACGATGGCCTCCCCTTCATCCCATCGTTTGAAGTAGACCTCACACGAGAAATATTTGATCCTCCCCAAGCACGTCAGATACTCAAGTACAATAGCGTGAATTGCATTTGTCACATCAAACACTCCCTCTTGATTAGAAAGCGTATGTGAAGTGAAATGTATGACAGAGGTAATCACCCATCACGGGGCTGATTCAAAGCAACATTCTTCCCATACGTTGACCTATTTATTAAACACCATAATTCTGTTGCACTGAAGTAACAAAAATACAATGATGTCTTTTACATTAGTTCATCTTGGAGCAAATATCATGATAAGGATCAATAAGTTAAAAACAGCAGCTTACAGAAATAATATTTAATTTCACCGCCTTCGCTAAGGAGTCATTTGTAATAGTGCAAAAGGGACCACATCTTGGGCGCGTTACTCTCAAAATGTCAGCAATGCCTTTCGTTGTGGGCTAATAGTACCGCCAATGCAGAGCACACGACGCCTATTTTAGAGGTCGTGTCCTACACCTCCAGAACGCACCAATCGATGGTGGGTAAACCATATTGCTTAAGTATGCCTCTAACTACCTACTGCTACTATTAAACTTATCCAGATCTGAGCAAGTCAATAAAATTGCATCAATTTTACTGGTACTCTAATTACAATTTTTCATAAATGAATTAAAAGCTCTCCCGTGGCCATTAGCGGAAAACATCAACGGCATGTTGACTTAAACAGAGAATATGAGGAGCCAGTAGTTGCAAATTTACCCCTTATAAGCCGTGAAAATTGCCAAAACACAAAGCGTCACCCCAATTTAAGCAACGGAAATTGCGAATAATAACGATTACACAAAAAAAAACACTTTCGGGACTTGAGATTCGAAACATAGCATAAGCAGAGCTATGATTATGTCAGTTATACAGAACTTTAAAA